CAGTTCCCAGCTCTGCGTTTCCCTTCCTTACAACCCCGGCCCTCAATAGCCGGCCATTCTCAGCATCCCATCTGCCGCCCTCCTGGCTTCTGCCCCTCCTTGACCTCAACACCTTTGACCAACAGAACCCTGTCATAACCTACTCGCCAAACTCTCCTAAACTCCTCTTTCTTCTCTCTTTGCCAGCTCCTGACTCCCAAATTCCAGCGAACTTTTGACCTCCTGACATTTGACCCTGACACGACTCCAGAATTCTAAATTCCTGCACTGCTGAATCTGAGGTCTTTCCTGATTTCTGACCCGGTTTCTGAAGCTCACCTTGACTTTCTTACTCCTGGGCCAGTTCTTGCTACAGCTACCCCACCATGGATTTCTTGATGAGTGGCCTGGCAGGCTGTGGAGCCTGTTTGTTCACCAACCCCCTGGAGGTGGTGAAGACTAGGATGCAGTTGCAGGGAGAACTGCAGGTCCCCGGCACCTACCAGAGGCACTACCGAAACGTCTTCCATGCCTTCATCACCATCGGCAAGGTGGACGGCCTGGCTGCCCTGCAGAAGGGCCTGGGTCCTGCCCTCCTATATCAGTTCCTGATGAATGGCATCCGGCTGGGCACCTATGGGCTGGCTGAGGCTGGGGGCTACCTGCATACAGCTGAAGGCACCCTCAGTCCTGTCCGAAGCGCAGCAGCTGGGGCCATGGCTGGGGTCATGGGAGCCTACTTGGGGAGCCCTATCTACATGGTGAGAAGAGTCTTGCCTGGGGCCTTTAAGGCAGACACTTGGTGTAGGGTGGGGACCTGGGTCTCCCTTCATAACCTGATAGTGAGGTTGGAAGTGGATTTGTGTAGGGGAGGGGGAGGAATTTGAGTAACATACTCTCAGCGAGTGTAGGGATCAGGGGGAGTCCTGGACATCACAGAAATACAATCTCACGGTTGTCCCCTTTGAGTTATCTGGTATAGGTGAAGAGTCCGTAGCCTGAGGCCCAGAGAGGGGAAGTGATCAGCTCAAGGTCACACAGCTACTTATTGTTAGGAATAGGTCCTGCTTTGTGCTCCTCCTGGGAAGACACTGAGAGGCAGGGACAGTGGCCTCTCCAAAGTAAGTTGCACACATGCCCCCATGGGGCTTTGAGATCAGAGAGCAAGTTTTGTTTATGACCTCTCACAACCTACCCGAGTCTGATGGGGAGTCTGGTTGTGCTGGTAGCTGGAGATCCTGTCCAGGAATAAGAGCTGGCATGAGAGGCTGGACACCCAGGCTGTGCCTAACACAAACAGTCTTAGGAAATGTTACCATTCTCCAACCTCTCCATCCCCACCCCTACCCACAAGGGAAGAATG